GAAGACATGGGAATGTTTTGTTTTAATGAAATTCAATTTGACTAGGTTAAGCAATGGCCAGAGACCTGGTGTAGCATTATTTCTGGTTCTATCTGCAAGTGTGTTTCCAAGGAGACTGAAATTGGCGGGCTGAGTGAAGCAGCTCTGCCTTCAACAATGTGCATGTGGATTATTCAGTCCCTTGCAGGACCAGGTGAACTAAAAAGGCCAAGGAGAGGTGAATTTGATGACTCCTTTCCAGCTAAGACATCTATCTGCTAAGGCAGAACAGAATGCCAGATTTCCAGCACTTTGGGCTCTCTGCAATGCACAGAATAAGCTTCCCCTCCCACCCTGCACCAAACACTCTCCTCAGGCCTCAGATTGAGAATCACCCCATCTGCTCCGCACATTCTCAGACCTCCCAGCCCAGAGAGAGTGATGCCACTGGCTTCCCTGATTCTCTAGCTTGTTGCAGAAAGCATAGTTTGTCTTCTTAGTTTCCGCAATCACATGAGCCTTTTTCCTTATGAAATCTCCTCTTGCATGGCTATATATATGTGATTAGTAATGTTTCTTGGAAAGCCATGACTAATACAGGGATTAAGTAGTTTTGTATTCATCTAATAATTTTATTCTAATATTCTCTTCTTTCCCTTTAGATACCTGTGAATACTCAGTGCTTCAAAGTACCCCTTGAATCACCTTTACCATCTTCCTTGTTAGAGTTGAGTAAATTTTTGACATGCTCATTCTATATTTGGGCAAGAGCTATTCCTTTAACTAATAATTTAAAATTATATAAGAACCTTTCTACATTGTTGGTGGGAATTTAAACTAGTACATCCACTGTGGAAAGCTCTATGGAGATTTATCAAAATCCAAAAATAGAAATTCCATTTGACCCAGCTATTTTCCTTCTAAGTATTCTTCTGAAAAAGTTAAAGACATCATAACACAGTGATACATGAATACTCATGTTTATAACATCAAAATTTAAAATAGCTACCCTGTGAAAATCAATCAATAATGGATAAGGAAAACATAGTATTTATACAAAATGAAGTACTACCTTGCCATAAAAAATGATAAAATTGAGGCATTCATAGGTAAATGGATGCACCTTAACAACATATTACATGAAATAAATCAGACACGCAAACTTAAATATTGCATGGTTTCCATTATATAAGAAGTCTAAAATATAAATAAAAAGCAAAACAAAAGTTAGATAATAGGAAGCAGGGAGATTGTTTTCAAATAGGAAGGGGAACAGAGATGGAAGGAAGGGGAGAGATGGGGGGGTAGGGAATGAAAAAAGAATTAAGATATGTTGTGTGAATTTACCAATTCCCCATGATAAATATAATCTATGCATTATTAATGTACACTAATTAAAAAGAAAAAAATATACTTGGACAAGTATTTTTTGCCCATTTATTTTAAACTAATTCCTAGGAATCAAAAAAAGTGAATATATATCTTGATTTTTGATCTTTTAAGTGATTTTCAGTCAAATTTAGAAAAGATGGTTGTGTGTATGACCATATGTGAGGATCTGATAGTACAACATGACTACAGTTAATGCTATGGGTTATATACTTGAAATTTGTTCTGATGTTTTCACACCCTCACACACACGAAGGTAACCTTGGGAGATAATAGGTGTATTAACTAAACTAACTGTGGTAATCATTTCACTATGTATACACATAGCAAATCATCACACTATCTACCTTAAATATATAGTTTTGCCTATTATGCTTCAATAACACCATTGAAGGCTAAGCTAATAAAAACAACCATAGATGTCCTTGTCTAAAATACTGAAGTTATTTTCACCTTCTGGGCAGGGCAGTGTCCAGGGGCTATGGGTAGCATCACTTGTGTGGGAATCAGACTTCCTGGGTTAAAGTTTGGCATGCCAACAGCTGTCCTCTTTATAACATTTATCACCTTTGAAACAAGGCCAACAATAATACCAACAGGGAAGATCAAACCGATGGACTTGAGGGCTTGAAGCAATGATGGTTTATGGTGAGTACATATGTATGATTGTCATAATTTTTAGTTTTATGCTGGTAACGTAAGATGATGAGTGTGAATTCCTAAACACATAATCCCTGCCATTAGGGAAAGACTCTCTGATGTCCCCACAGATATCTACCAATATACTAGATTTCATACATGGGGATACATCTTGCTCTTCAGGATACATTTGATGACTTTCATAAATGAAAGGGGAGATTTAAAGAATCCACATGGAAAATGAGTGTTCAGGGCTGTAATTACTTCCAGGTCCTGACACTGGGCAGACAGGATATAGATCTGATTTGAGAAGGACAAAAATAACATAGCTTGTGCTTGTATTTCCCCTATCAGTTAAAGCTATAGTTTTTCTCTTTGACTTACTAATTTTACATTTACCTATCCAGACATATGACAAAATTTATCCTCAACATTAACATAATTATTTCTATGTTTTATAATAACATCTGTATTGTCGATGATATATATGCTCTATATGTTTATATAGCTTACATGTTTTACAAACACCGAGTGACTTTATCCTTCATATATACATATATGGTACAATATTTGTGTTTTCAGGTACATTTGTAGGTTCAATCAAATAAAAGTGGAAAATATTTAAATACTTTGCTCATGGTCTGAATACACACAAACATTTTTCCTTGTCATTTATGATTCCCTAAAGAATATATTATACCAACTATGCATTTAGATGACATTTACATGGTATTAGATAGATGAGAGGAAGTATATAGGTTATAGGAAGCTCTGTATCATTTTACAAAAGGCACTTGTGCACCCATCATGTGTTTAGGTACCCACAGGGGTTGTGGAACAAATATGTACCTCATTGATACTGAGGGACAAGGACATATATATATACACACACATATATATATACATATATATGTGTATATATATATATAAAATGTACATGTTTGTATTATATAGAGTGGTTGGTACCTTGGTTTACAAACTTAATTTGTTTTATGATTTGGAGGAAGTTGGCTGCATTTGTATTTGTGTGGGGAAGATGGCTATGGTCGTGTTTATCACCCAATGCAGAGTTTGAAAATGGAAACAAAATTTTGCTGAACACTTTTGTTTTTGAACTAAGTTGTTTGCAAACAGAAGCTATTACTATATATATATATATATATATATATATATATATATATATATGGAGAAGATTCATTCTTGTAAATATCAATCCTCTAATATGACCCTTGCTCTCTATATATTCAACTACTCTTATATACTTAAATCTCTGTATATATTTATGTCCTATTATGTACTGTAAAATATATGTATTATTTATTTTTACACACACTTATATGTATAGCCACATGTAATATCCATACAAAGCAATTATATCAATATTAGCACTAATAAACAATACTAGTCATTAATTAGTATTGTAAGTTGGAATTATATAGCAATCTGTGCTATCCCTGTAAGCTCCTTATGAAGAGTGTACCTATGTTTGCCACCTGTATTTTAGGGTTCTAACACAGTGCCTATCACATAGCAGGTACTCAATAAATAGTCACGGAAGGATTTGTTATTCAAGAATTCATCCAGTTTTGTGGTTTGCAACTCTTCTTGCATTTTCAAATCACCCAGAAAGGTTTTATTTATTCACTTGATCCATATTCTTATTAAGTTTCATCCCCCATGATTATTTGGGAATACGTGGGAGAAGGGCTCAGGCAGTACTCCCATCAAGCTCTCTGGTAATTCAAGTGTACAGCCCTAGAATGAGAACCCTGGAACCCTGGAACCCTGGAGCCTGGGCCTGCTTCCCCATGAGGCTGGGGTGAGGGTCCAGTGAATGACAGGGAGGCTATCAACACCCTAGGTGCTGTGCCAAAGCATGAGCTATAGGGCACCTTAACTCTGTGACTCTATCTGCTCACTGCTCAGTCATGCTGATTCAGATTCTACTTGCAAGAGAAGGAGGTCTCCTCTCCGTCCACACACATGCTAGCTTTGGGTCAAGGCACACTGACTTCAAATGAACAAAACCCACAGCTTTCCCCAGAAACTCCCTCAGGTACTGAGCATGAATGCTTTCTGCTGCACTTCATTTGGTTGGGATTTTAAGAAGTGGTCCCTGGAATCCCTGTAGGACATGGTGTGAAAGTCTCCTGACATTTTTTTCCTCCTGAAATGGAAAGTGGACCTCCTGGATCCACTCCCAGTTTTCAATCTTGCAGTGGAAAGATCTTTTAGACAGGGGAAGCCAGTCTCACTCTGCAAGTAAAGCAGCCAGGTGAGCATGTCACACTACTTCATTGATAAGAAACAAAGAATGGGAAAGGTAAGTAATTCATAGAAATTCACCAAGCCTATCAGTGTTATAGCCAGCATTTGAAGGCCGATTGCTTAGTTTCTAAGGCTCTCTGCTTTCAAACTGCAACCCTTTTCAATCATAGTAGTGAATCCATTTGCTAAAATAGACTACTCAAGCAATGTACTCTGATCTTCACATAGTGTAAAGACATTAAGCATTTAATTTCAGTTTTATGTAGTTGGCAAGATTGTAGATGATTTATAATCTTGATTTTATTAATTGTGTGCTCCAAGATTTTTTAAAACAGCAATATTAATGTTGTAGTTACTTTAAGGTTATTGAAAAATTTTAATGAATGTCATCTTTTATAAACCACAATAATATCTTTCTGATGTTATTTATGTTGTATACATCAAATATGATAATAAAGTGAATGCATTTTAAAAAGTGATTTTCACAAAACTCCTCTTCTGATAAATCCAAATGAATTCTGCGGTTGGAGGAGCACTAGTCAGACATGTGAGCAATCTTGTGTTTAGATGTATGGTTGCATTACACTCTACCCATCTCCTCCCACATCTTTTTCTGAACTCTATCTTTGGACCTGATCCCAGCAGATGGACACAATCACTTTTCCCAAGGATTCACTGTGTCCCTATTTTGTCCTTGACTGTAGAAGTTTGATCACTCTACTTACCAACTCTCCAGTTGAGCTGAGCTGGACTGGGAGTACCAGTGAGGTCTGAGGAGCTGGAAAAAGCCATTGGAGAGAGCAGTGATGCTAGTGGATCATCACAGTTGTCTACAGTGTTAGGAAGGAGACAGAAAGAGATAGGGCAGAATCTGTTAGAAAAGCCTTTCCATGAAGCGAGACATCATGATGTTATCTACCATTATTTTTGAAGCACTTCCTCTAAGGTTTGTACTACTTGTTTCTTAAATTCCTGCATATACTTCTCACAACACCCCCAATGGACAAGAAAAACTTTTCACAGAAAGAGAGAAGTTTAGAGATGTCCAGGAGTTTGTCCAATGTCACAACAATAGAAACTAGCATAGACATAATTCTCACCTATTTTTATCTGACTCAAATTTCCAGCTACCATTCACCCTTTTAAAGGACAATTTATACAAAGCCTTAAATCACTGCTATTGTGCTAGTTCTAGAAAAAGTGAGAACATTGAAGAAGAGGAACATTGTTTAACTTTCTCCCATCTTCTGTCCTAAAGACCTCTGTAATAATTATATCTAGAGGAAGAGGATAATTTTAACTAATTTATTTTCGATTGTGTGAAAAATCACCGGAAAATGCATTACTTATTCTAATAGCTCGTTTATAGTCCATGAAGCAATAGATAATAGTTTCGGATTTTGAACAATCTCAAATATGACAGTCACCTCAGTAGTTATACTTTCAGCTGTCCTTAAATGTGACAATTAAGCTTTCTAAAGCTCATCTGATAATGTCATAATGTGAGACAGGGCAGGACCACAGGCAAAGAGGTGGTCTTGACAACACAGTTGTCTCTCCAGGTTGACGTTAACATTGTGACTAGTCAGTTCTTGTAGAGATGGAATTTTCACACTCTCCAGACCTCATGTTAAAGATCTATATCTCCACCGTAACAGTACTAAAAGGTGGGAAAGAAGGGAAAGGAAAAATTATGAGAAAAGAAAAAAATATGGAAACAAAATCTATGTAAATAGGGAAGGGTGGAAGGGGTGAAGGGTGCACAGGTAATGGGGAAAAAAATAAGAACTAAGATACATCATGTACAGGTACAAGCACCCAGTGATAAATGTAAACTTACTGCATACCTAAAATGTACCAATAAAAGAATTTTTTTAAAAAGAGGTGGTTAAGCCCTGAGAGCTCCACCATTGTAGGCTGATTTAATGCCTTGATTAAAGGACTCTCATGAGTGTGGTCTCACCTTCTTGCCCTCTGTTATGTAACGACACCGCAAGTGTACACTTCCTAGATGCTGGCACATTGATATTGAACTTCCCAGCCCTCAGAAATGTGAGCCAAAAAATATCTGTTTATAAGTAACCTAGTCTCAAGTATTCTGTTACAGAAGCACACAGCAGATTAAGACATTTGGTCACCATAATGTTCTATACTAACTCATTTATTAGTTTGTATCTCTCACCAAGAGGCACATCTTTGTGGTCCTCCAGCAAACACTATGGGTGTGATACTTCTGGATAAAAAGTTTGTTGGAAGAGTGAGATAGTGAGTCATGAGAGAAGAAACGAAGAGAAAGATCAATGAATCAATCAGTTAACCCCATAGCACTCAAATTTTTTTCCTATTTTTTTCCATTCTGTACAACATTGATATTGCAAGACATTGACAAATGACCTCATAAAATTTAGATATACTTCATACAAAACAAATTTGAAATGTGCTGTTTAGTTTCAAGGTAAACTTCACACAGTAAAGGCTCTCAGGAGTAATTATTTTGACTTTTTATAAAAGAATATTTACATAGTATCATGCTTGTTTATCTAGGAAGTTCTGAGCTGTATTCAGCTAATTGCAGGGAAATTAATTAGACACATAAGGATTAAATTCTTGTTTGTTAAGTGTGTTAGAAAATCAACTGGCAAAGTGTATTTTGAGTTTCTCTCAAACAAAAATGTTTGAAAAATGTTTTGAGGTATTTGACAAACACCAAACAGAGCCACATCCTCACTGAAGAGGAATAATATAAAAATCACAGGAAAGGCACCTTGGTGGTTATGGATAATCTGCGAATAGGATGCAGAGATGTGTCATTTGTACTCTTGTTGTAGCATGCAGGTGAATGGAGCAGCACACACACACACTTCAAAGCACTTGGTTGAAAACACACATTTGTTACTCCATATATTTTGAAATAGTTTGAACATGATGCTGATCTTAAATTTGCTTATGACTCTTTTATCATCAAGAAGCACAAGTGTGGAAAAATGAAACCTACAGGACTATTCAAAATGCGAGTACACGCGCATGCACACACACAGTCACTGAGATCAACGTCTGTGGTTGTAACCATCTCCCCACTTCAAAACCCCTCTATCATCTCACAGTAACTCTCAGCCTTCCTAGCAGTCAGGTCCACCAAACTGCAAATAGTTTCAAGGCTAAGAGATATATTTATTATACTACTTAGGCATTTCTTAAATGTTTAACATGTATACAGTGATGTTATCATTCTTATTAAGTTCTTAAGGTATTTCTATGTATGTTGATGATATTTGTGAGTTGTCTCCTTAGGCCTATTTCTCCCCAAGCCCTTGCTTATATAAAGTTCTTATTGTATACTTAACCAGTTATTTTTACAATGTACATGTTGTGCTGTAGCAGATTGACATGTAGAAATTTCAAGTTAACTCAGGTCATACATTGCTCAGGAAACAACCCCAGGATTCAGTTTTTCTCTTATTAAAGGGGTTTTTGGGTTCAAATATGTAAATTCTTAAAAATTACTATGGAATAGTAGAAATGGAATTTACATAATCATTTAAAATTAATTCAGTCCAAATATTTACAAAGTCTTCTTTTGTGTTTGTCCATGAAGAGGCTTTAGGGGTAGATGTGGGTAAGACAGAGTCTCAGACCTGAAAAACTTCAGACTATACAAAAATGCATCAATGAACGAGACAGTCTAGAAATTTTTCACTAAGCTTACAGCACAGCCATAAAATGGGTTCCTCAAGGTGCACAGTCTAGGCCACCAACCTATACCATCTCGTCCAGCAACTGCCTCTGTCCCTCTCAAGCAGTGCCGTTGGTGACAGAGAGTTGCTGGAGCCTGTGGAGATCAGGGACAGCTGCCAGGCTCCCACCCCTGTCTGTCTCCTCTTCTGAACTCTGCCCACCTTGTATCTCTGCTTCTGTTTCCACTTGGGAAATTCGCAAATTCATCAAAAAAAAAAAAAAAGATCCCTGCTCAAGGCAAAGGCTCAGAGGAGATTTCTGAGCTACTCCTGTCCTTGTAGACCCTGTGTGCTTCAAGAGGGGCTTTTGGAGGGATAATCTGAACTTCTGATCTGCTCCTAAAAATGAGAGGCATGGGAAATTTCCACATCAGGAAGAAGAATGATGATCTCCCTCTCTATCTAGAGCAAGGAATTAGGTCCCTCTGTCATCTCCACATCATGTGAACAACTCTTGACACCTTCACTTAAAAAGAGAATAGATCAGGTCTTTTCTCAAATTATCCCTGGTCACTGGGAGTTAAGACTTTGCCATATAAGACTCCTAACTCCAAAAGCAGGTATGATTTCCGATGTGTTCCTTATTCCTAAAGCAGAGGGGAAATGACCCAGACACCTGAGAAAAAGAATTAGGTTTATTTGAGAAGTAGGATACTAAAGCTGAAACCACAGACTTCAAAATGAGCTATATGCCCTTCCCTGTTTTTTCCTAAATTGGTAAGTTTCCCAGGCTGGTCTTAACCTTGTCATCCTTCTGTCTCAACCTCCCAAAGTACTGGGATTATAGGCACGCAACACCATGCCTAGCTAATCATTAGTTTTTATTTTTCTTTGTTTCATGATTTAGTATATCCTAGACCTAGGAGATCCTGTTCCCCACGTTTGTTTCTTCTCTTGCCTTGGTGGCTTGAGATAAAACATTCAAGTGAACTAAGCTTTATTTCAGTGGTCCACAGAATTAAGAATTTTCCCATATCCAGCCATACAATTATTTTAAGGATGGAATGAAAATACAGGAGGGTGGCTCTGCTTGTAAAGTGTGAAACCCAAAATGAGAATAGGAAGCAGTCTGTGAATTGTCAGCAATATCTTATTGCAATTGAGAGCAACTATTTTAACAATTTTATTTCTGGGATCTCATTTCTGTGCCATGAAACATGCCTGGGAATTAGTGTCACAGATAATGCTCCTGAAGGTTTGCAGTGGGCCAGATGAGTAGGAGAAGATAAAGAGGAAAGGAATTAAAGGGCTGAGGGATGGCAGAGCCATGCTGCCCTTGAGGGTGGGCAGCTTGTACAGCACATGAGCATATGGCCGGGAAATAAGGAAAGGAAGAACCACCTACTCCACTTGCCCTTTGAGATCCCTTAAAGAAACCCCACTGTCATTGGATTTCAGGCTCCACTTGCATTCAGTCTTCTGACAATTCAGCCTTCTGACATCACACTAAATGCAGCATTTGCTTCCTCCAGAAGAGTGTGTGTGTGTGTATGTGTGTGTGTTTGTGTGCATTCATCAGTGTTTAATGGAGCAAGAAGAAGGATGAGTGAAAAAAACAAGATCCAATGGAAGATTTTTGAAGGTTAGGGAAAAATACTGAGAAAGACAAAATATCAGTTTTCTCTTATATCCACTTCCACTGGGATCACTTGAGATAGACCTTCCTGACTTCCTCAAGAATTGTTTCCAAGAATGAGCCAAATGTCATGAATACATTGACATAAAAAAAATTCTCAAAAGGAGCTCTTGAAACCTTCCTTTTGTGAACCTTTTTCTCCCAAAATGCAGGCAAAGTCAAAAGGGTATTTTAAAAATGACATTCTTTATTTAAATCTGATTTATGATTCTTCATTTTCCTTCAATAAATAAGTATGGTGTCATTTCACTGTAAAGCCACTGCATCTGCACTTCACCCTTGTGTAGATAAAAATCCATACTTGTGTGTTTGACCAAAACACCTCTAGGTCTTTAGTTCATAACTGCTTACATAACTCCAGGTCTATTTGCAAATAACTTTATATTCATAGAATACTAAGAATCAGAACCAGGATGAATTTCTGAAATTGTGGAATTCAAGCCTTTTGCTTTACAAATGA